CGTGGGTAAGAACCTCACTTCTTCAGATGCAAAGTGAGGTTCTTACCCACGAAAGCTTATGCTCCCAATACTTCTGTTAGTCTTAAAGGTGCCACAGGACCCTCTGTTGCTTTTTACAGATTCAGACTAACACGGCTACCCGTCTGATAATTGTCATACAGTGTTTTTCCATTTTAATTATGTGGAAGCCATCTAATATTTTCTTACACCCGAGATTATGCTGTTCCCCAAATGTTCCTAATGGTATTGTCACGTTTAAAAAAGGCAAATATCCAGGCAAGCTGTGAACTGTCCAGTCTCTCATATGGCTTAGTCAACCCCCATTTAAGTCAATGGGAGTCTTGCCATTGACATGAATAGCAGTTAAATCTTTGCAGTGCAGTGTTGTCCTGCACTCAGGCCATTTGACAGGGAACCAGGAACTTCTGCATGTTAATCTTGGCTCTGACAATGATTCCATTTGTTGCCATGGGCAAGTCACTTAACCTTGCTGCCTCCATTTTCTCAACTGCAAAATGGGGATAATAATTCTTAGTTACCACAAAGGAGAGATTAGATTACACTGTATTTATAAACCACTTTGAAGATGAAAGGCACTACATGATGTAGATGCAAAGTATCCTTATTACGAGAATGTGAGGAAGAACGAGTAAAGTTAGTCTTGTGATTAAGGCATGGGACTGGAATGCAGGAGATCAAAATTCAGTCCCTTGCTTTCCCACAGACTTCCTATGTGACCTGGGTAAGTCACATAATCACTCTATGCCTCAGTTCATCAGTAAATGGGGATAATACCTCCCTGTCTTACAATGTAACCTCCCAATTCATTGATGTCTGTGAGGTGCTCAGATACTACAGGGATGAGGGCAATATAAGTTCCTATATGGATAGTTAAGGGCAATTACCATTTACAGACATGATCCTCCTGCATCAATAAAACAGACTGCTCTGCTCTTTAGAACTGGCACCTTAGGCCTAGTCTACACTGGCGGGGATCAACCTAAGATACGCAACCTCAGCTACGAGAATAGTGTAGCTGAAGTCGAAGTATCTTAGGTCGATTTACCTTGCGTCCTCACGGTGCGGGGTCGACTGACGCCGCTTCCCCGTCGACTCTGCTTCTGCCTCTCGCCGCGGTGGAGTACAGGAGTAAACGGCAGAGTGATCGGGGATCAATTTATCACGTCTACACTAAATGCGATAAATCGATCCTCAATAAATTGATCACTACCCACCGATCCAGCAGGT